CTTAGATATAAATGAGATCAACGAATAAGATTAAGAGTGTAACTTACACTGATGTAAATGATCCTGACCCATATATAATATATATATATATATATATATATATATATATATATATATATATATATATAGGGTAGGGATCTTTTGACTCTAGAGTAAGACTTACAACTCTTACTCCTCATCTCAACCGTTGATTTCCGTCCATCTAACGGTTATCTATAACAATTATTTATTTATTTATTTCAAATAAATAATAACCGTTAGATGGACGGAAATCAACGGTTGAGATGAGGAGTAAGAGTTGTAAGTCTTACTCTAGAGTCAAAAGATTCTTCCCTATATATATATATATATGAGGAGAGATATTTTGACTCCAGAGTAAGACTTTGATTCCCATAATGATTGTTATTTATTTGACATTAATCTTACTCCTCATCTCAGTTGTTGATTTTCGTGCATCCAATGATTGTTATTTATTTGACATTAATAGTTAATTAATATTTGACATTAATATATATATATGAAGAATATTATATTTACAAATTTTTTGTTTATAAACTCTTACAAACTACACTAAGTATGACCGGTCATACTTTAATCAAGAGTGTATGACCAGTCATACTTAATGTAATTTGTAAAAAAATGTTTGTAAACGGATTATTTCCATACATATATATATGAGAGAGAAAGAAAGAATAAATAAAAATTGGATGTCATTATTAAAATATTTTAAAAACTGTTAACATATCAAATGAATCATTAGAAATACATGAAATTATAATAATAAACGTGAGAAATTTTTATGGGCAACTGGATATTTATTACCTTGTGTAGGGTAGGGTGTTTGTAAACTCAAAAGATTTAATAGATTTAGTTGATGGGAAGTTGACGGAGGAGAGAAAACGAGATGTCGATAAGGAAAATAAAATAAAATTAATGGCGTAGATAATTTATTCGCATTCCCTAGGCACTTTTGAGCTGCTCCATGGACACATATGTCAGGACAATAGCAAATTAGCAATGATATGGCAAACGTGCTTAAATAAAACAAACAACGTGTTGTGAAAAATTTCGGCGGATTGTACAGCGTGCTCGTGCTCTCTCATACTCATCAATCATTGCGGCCGGTGACATTGACAATAAACAACAGTTTGGCAATCATTGCGGCCGGTGACATTGACAATAAACAACACTAAGGTTGCCATGCTACCCCAAAGTGACTCACCTTCAAGGACTTAAACTTCTTAGTTGGATACTAATGACAAATTATCTTATTGACAAATTATCTTATTCAATATATATATATATATATATATATATATATATGGCAGGATATTCTTATACCGATGTAAGAGTTAGAAGTCTTACACTCAATCTTGATCATTAATCCACTTGTATCTAATGGCTCACATTAATAAAAAATTTGAGCCCTTAGATATAAGTGAGATCAACAGACAAGATTGAGAGTGTAACTTACACTGGTGTAAAATGATCCTGATCCTATATATATATATATATAAATAAATAAATATATATATATATATATATATATATATATATATATATATATATAAGGGAAAAGACTTCGCATGTTGCATGAGAAGTCTCCTCTCCTATCACTCTCACTTCGATGTCCGTGTCAGTCACTTTTTTATTTTTTATTTTTTCTTTTAAGGTGGGTCCCACCTCTTTCTTTCTCTATAGGAAAACTTGCATTTCTCATGCAATATGAGAAATTGCAAGCCCATATATATATATATATATATATATATATATATATATATATATATATATATATATATATATATATATATATATATATTTTAGTAGGATAATTTGATACCAGTTTCAAACTAAAAAGTTTTATACCTAATCATAATTGTTGATTTCTGTGAATCTAATGGTTTTAATTTATTGGATCATACTTATTAATTAATTATTTATTTTTAATAAATTAGAACAGTCAGATCGAATGAAATCAACAATTTAGATTTGGTGTCAAACTAAATAGTTTGACACCAGTGTTAAATGCTCCTATCTCATAATATATATTATTGAATAACTAGAAACGAAAGGAATTATGAAATGATCTATGTATTGAATAGGTACACGTGTGTAAAATGTATAGAAACCTATTAGGTTTAGCCCAGACTTAACCTAAATATTAATAAGGAAAATATATATTTATAATATTATTTCCAACATTCCCCCTTAAGCTGAACTGTATAAATCATAAGCACCAAGCTTGTTACATATATACTTTAGTTGAGGACCCCTCAAATATTTAGTAAATATATCTGTTAATTGATCATTAGAGGGTACAAACTAGTTATAACTTCACCTGCAAGAACCTTTTCTCGAATAAAATGACAATTTATCTCAATATGCTCGATTCTTTCATTAAACAATGGGTTGAAAGAAATATGTATTGCTGCTTGGTTGTCACAAATGAGAGTTGTTAGTTCAGTGTCTCCAAACTTTAGCTCTCTAAGAAGTTGCTTAAGCCAAATGAGCTCACATGTAGTAGTAGCCATGGAGCGATATTCTGTTTCTGCACTTGATCTGACAACTACATTATGCTTCTTACTTTTCCAGGAAACCAAGTTGCCTCCAACAAATACGACATATCCAGTAGTAGATCTTCTATCAGTAGGACAACCAACCCAGTTAGCATCAGAGTATCTAACAACTTTACTATGATCTTTATCTTTATATTCAAGGCCTTTTCCTGGAGATGCCTTGATATACTTGAGAATCCGAATAATAGCATTCTAATGTTCATGACATAGAGAATTAAAAAACTGACTTACCACACTAACTGCAAATGAAATGTCAGGCCGAGTGATTGTGAGGTAGTTTAGTTTTTCAACTAATTTTATTTACCTTTCAAGATCTGAAAAGGGCACCCCCTGATTTGGTATAAGCTTAAAATTTGGATCCATATGTGTCTCAGCAGACTTATAATTTAACAAGACAGTCTCTTCAAGGATATTCAGAGCATATTTCCTTCGAGATATCATAACACCATCTATAGATTGGGCCACTTCAATTCCCAAGAAATATCGAAGTTTTCCAAGATCGTTGGTCTGAAACTGATGACATAAATGTTGCTTCAACTGAGTAATCTCATAATTATCACTACTTGTGATGACAATATCATCCACATACACCACTAGGTAGATAGACCCAGAAGCTGAATGACGGAAAAAGAGAGAATGATCAATCTCACTCCAAGTCATACCAAATTATTGAACAACACTGCTAAATCTGTCAAACCAAGATCGTGGAGATTGCTTGAGACCATATAAAGACTTGTGGAGACGACAAACAAGACCTGACTCCCCCTGAGCAACAAATCCAGGAGGTTGCTCCATATATAAACTTCCCCCGCAAGATCACCATGAAGAAAAACATTCTTATCATTGAGTTGATAAAGAGGCCAATGACGTATAGCAGCCATGACAATAAAGAGGCGAACAGAAGACATTTTAGCCACAAGAAAAATAGTGTCACCATAATCCAGCTCAAACACCTGAGTAAAACCCTTTGCACCAAGCGAGCTTTAAGGCGATCCACTTGACCATTAGGACCAACCTTAACAGCATAAATCCAGTGGCAGCCAACAACAGATTTTCCAGATGGAAGAGCAACCAAATATCAGGTACCATTTTGATGAAGGGAACTCATTTCATCAATCGTAGCTTGCCTCTATCCAGAAAATGAAAGTGCGTCACATGTAGTCTTAGGAATAGACGCAGAAGGCAAAGAGGAAAGACAAGCATAACATGATGAAGAAAGACGATGATAACTAATATTAACTAGATACCTTATCGGAGGGCGAGTATCATGTGTACCTTTACGAAGAGTAATGGGAAGGTCACTAGCTCGAAGGTGAGACCGAAGCTGAGGGAGGAGATGTAGTCGGATGTGAGCCCACAGAAACATCTGGAGAACCATGTTGTAACTCATCATGAGAAAAAGTGACAGAAGGAGAGTCAGAAATATGGACTGGTAAAGGCGGAAGGTATTCAAAGATGTCGGCAGGGAGAGATAACTGAACAAAAGCAGTGTCCACAGGAGTAGTAGAAGAGCCAAAAAAATGAAACTGATTCAAAAAAGGAAACATCTGTCGAGATAAAGTATCGATGTAAAGTCGGAGAGTAGCAACGGTAAACCTTTTGAGACCGAGGATAACCCGAAAAAACATATTTATGAGACTTGGCAGCTAGTTTATCCAAGTCTGGACCGAGATGATGAACAAAACACGAAGAACCAAACACATATGGGGTTAAAGGATATAAAACTTGATAGGAAAACAAAATAGAGTGAGGTACCTGGTGATGAGGAATAGATGAGGGCATCCGATTAATAAGATAGCATGCAGTGAGAATAACATCACCCTAGAATTTGTAGGGAACAATGCCATCAATTAACAAAGCACGAGTAGTTTTAACAAGATGGCGGTTCTTGCACTCGGCTACACCATTTTGTTGGGGTGTATGAGGGCAAGATGTTTGATGAAGAATGCCATAAGACGAAAAGAATTGGTGAAACTAATGAGATAAATACTCACATGCATTATCACTACGAAAAGTACGAATAGGAATACCAAACTGAGTTTTTATTTCATTATAAAAAACTGAAAAACAAAAATAACTCAGAACAATTTTTCATTAGAAATAACCAAGTACATCTAGAATAATCATCAATAAAAGTAACAAAATACTTAAACCTAAAGTATAAGGATGACGACTTGGTCCCCAAATATCAGAGTGGACGACAAAAAATGGGGATAAAGCTTGACGACTAAGATGACTTGGGAACATACTACGAGTATGTTTCCCAAACTAACAAGACTCACAATTTAAACTAGAAAGAGACTATAAATATGGAACCATTTTCTGAAGCTTGACAAGACTTTGATGACCTAAAAGAGCATGTATAGTGAGAGAAGAATCCACGATGCAGCAGGATGAAGAAGAAAGAAACAGTTGATAGAGGTCATGAGACTCACATTCTTTGGTAATCTCCTTCCCCGTACTCCGATCCTAAAAGATGACAGAGGTTTTAGTAAAGGAAACAACACAATCAATGGATTTTGTCAAACGACTAATAGAAAGTAAGTTAAAAGGAGAATCTGAAACATAGAGAACATGATCCAAAGATAAATGAGGTAAAAGAAGAACTGTGTCGATCCCACGGGATTGGACCAGAGACCCATTGACCACAGTAATAGTAGGAAATGAACTAGTGGTACAAAGAGAAGAGAATAAGGACTTATTACCAGAAATGTGATCAGAAGCCCCAGAATCAAGAGTCCAAGGGCCTAGAAAGTATAACTGATAAATCCCAGCAAAAAAATTACTAGTGGGAGCAATGAATGCAGTAAGACCAGATGTTTTCTTCTCAGACCACCAAGTCACAAATTCATTAAGAAGAGCGACAGGAGGTTGCACAGCGGAAGGTAACCCTAGAACAGGAGCACTAGAGGAAGCCTGAGCAACATGAGCATTTCAAGGAGGCTGAGGTGTCTTGCCATGGTGCTTCCAACAATGGTCAACAATATGATTGGTCTGATGACAATGAGTGCATAACAGCTTTCCCTTAGAGGGTTTACGTCCATGACCATAACCCTAAGCAGTAAGGGTAGAGGAGTCAACGGTATCAACAGGAGGTACATGGGTCATAATAGGTGCTAATGATGTAGAGGGCTTAGATGGAATCCTAAGCAAGATAGACATCACAGAATCTAGTGTAGGAACTGTACCAGACCCCAAAATTTGATCCCGATTGGCAGACAAATGGGAAGATAAACCATATAAAATGAACATCATAAAAAGGGTATTGCGTTGTTCCTGCTCCTTAGTAACATCACCGGTAAGGGACAAAAGTTCATTAAGATCATAAAGCAAACTCTGAGCTTTCCCCAAATACTCAGACATAGGACAATTGAAATTTCGAGGGGCAAAGGTAGTCATCAATTTCTGACACACACCATAGAGTCTATGTGTATCATTGATGTACAATGCCTTTGCCTGACTTCAAATAGCTTCACAAGTATTGGCAAGTAGAAAAATCTGCTTAATTGAAGGATGAAGAGTAGCTTTTATGAGACTGTACAATTGAGCATCAATCATCTTCCTCGTGTGCACTCATTAGCCGCAATAGAGTCAGCCTTAGTAGTGAGATGGGATGTATAATCCTGTCCATCCAACCAAAGTCGTAGATCTGACGATCAAGAATCATAGTTTGACCCATCCAATTTATCCATACTCAGCAGAGTAAGGATATAATTGGAAAAAATAGTAGACTCCCCTTTGGGGGCAGGCGGAGACCCAGAAACAGAAGAGATAGAGGAATCCGTATTAATCACCCAACAAAAGAAAGAACAGAAAAATCAGAAAGACAAATCACAAAACTAACTTGTAAAAGAGGGATCTGTGTGTCAACAAAAAACGATGTCGAAACACCAAAACGGACCAGATCCAGAACTGTCGTAGTGAGAAGAGAAGAACGCAACTGGTCGCGATCAGAACAGAGCCTCTACGCGCTGCTAGTCTGGAGAAGAAGACGCACCTTGCACGCGCGCGTGGGGAAGCGGTTAGAGACACGACCGGTGCAGGCGAGACTGCGCTGCTTAGACGAGCACGTTGGTGGGTGGATCGTTGAAACGGCCACCGGACAGTGGTGGTCGATGACGGAGATGCGGCGACAATGGGGTTCTACCGTCTGATCACGGAGAGAAAGATCCAGCAACGATGAAAATACGATATAAGAAGGAAGGAAACGTCCGGAAACTGACAAGGAGACAATATCCGAATTTTTTTTTGAAAAGACGATGAACAGTGGGTTCGCCGGAAAAAGAAACGGATCAAAGTTCCTTTCGATAGGCTCTAGATACCATATTGAAGTACGAGAGACAAAAGAAATTGTGAAATAATCTGTGTATTGAATAGGTACAGGTGTGTACAATATATAGAAATCTAATGGGCTTAATCCAGACGTAACTTAAATACTAATAAGAAAAATATATATTTATAATATTATTTCCAACATATATATATATATATATAAATATTTCTCCAGCCACTTGAAATAAATGTATCTCAAGCTACCCCTTTTAATTATGTATGGGTAGTACATAATTATAATGTTAACTCAAGCTACCCTTTTTAATTATGTACTATGAGTAGTACATAATTATAATATTGAAATTGTTTTTTTCTATCTTTCAACGTCAGCAGACAAGTTCTGAAAACAAGTTCTGAAAAGTAACTGAAGAGAGAAAAAAAAGCAACTTTAATAATATAACTATATACTACTTGTAATATATAGTTAAAAGAGATAGCTTAAGATAAGCTCATTTTAAGTGGCCGAAAAAATATTAACCCATATATATATATATATATATATATATATATATATATATATTTGGTATATTACAAAGTTACCTTAATAACTTTATGCTTAGCCTCTGTTCTCGCTTCTTAGATAGGTTGTTTACGTAAGACCTGCAACATTTTTTGCATATGAATCATGTGCTCAAGACTCTATTGTTTCTTTCTGTCGAACATTGAATGGTCTGCGGCCCCTTTTATTTCCATGTCTTTCTAAACGCACACAAAAACCTAACTATATATACCTCTATTTCCTTGCACTTTCATTATTCAACCTGGTTAGCTACTCCACTCATAGTCAAACCCTTAATACTATTATTCCTCAGTCACCAGCAGCTATGTTCATTTTCTTTGCTCTTTTCATCTCCTTAGGGTTTCTCTTTCTCTCCTTTCTCTCCTCACTCAACAACACTAATAAACCCAAACATTCACCCTTGTCCTCAACCCATTCCCCTCCTTCATACCCAATCATTGGTTGCCTCATCTCTTTCTACCAAAACCGCCACCGTCTTCTTGACTGGTACACCCAACACTTGTCCCAATCCCCGACCCAAACCATCGTGGTGCGCCGCCTCGGCTCACGGCACACCATCGTCACCGCGAATCCTATTAACATTGAGTACATCCTGAAGACCAATTTCAAAAACTTCCCCAAAGGAAAACCCTTCACTGAAATCCTGGGTGACCTTCTTGGTTGTGGCATATTCAACGTGGACGGCGAGTTATGGTCCACACAGCGCAAATTAGCGAGCCACGAGTTCAGCACAAGGTCCCTCAAAGAGTTCATCGTTAAAACCCTCGAAGAAGAAGTCCAACAGAGGCTAATTCCATTGCTAGAAAGTGCTTCCAATAACAACAACGTTTTGGACTTGCAAGATATATTAAGAAGACTCACATTTGATACTATTTGTAAAGTCTCATTAGGCAATGATCCTTGTTGCTTAGACCTATCTAAACCCTTGCCACCACTTTTAACCGCATTTGACACGGCTTCTGAGATAAGCGCCATGCGTGCAACCGCACCATTGTTTCTCATGTGGAAGATCAAAAGAGCATTGAATTTAGGCTCCGAGAAATCACTCAAAGAAGCCGTTAAACTCGTTCACGAGTCGGTTCACAAGATGATTGCTATCAAGAAGAAAGAAATCAGGAGTGTTAGGAAGGGTGATGCTGGCAATGATTTGTTGACAAAGTTGTTGGAGATGGGGCATGATGAAATCATGGTGAGGGATATGGTTATAAGCATGATAATGGCGGGGAGAGACACGACATCGGCGGCGATGACGTGGCTCTTTTGGTTGCTATCGGAACAACCAAGCAAAGCGGAATTGATAGTGAAGGAAGTGAAGGAAGTTTTTGGAGGAAAAAATAATGGAGGAGAAGTAGATGAGTTGATGAGACCTTTTGATTATGAGGGTTTGAAAGAAATGAAGTTTTTGAAAGCTTGTTTGTGTGAATCTATGAGGTTGTATCCACCAGTGGCATGGGATTCAAAGCATGCTGCTAGTGAGGATGTGTTGCCTGATGGCACTTTGGTAAATAAAGGAGATAGGGTGACTTATTTTCCTTATGGGATGGGGAGGATGGAGATGTTGTGGGGGAAGGATTTTGATGAATTTAAACCGGACAGGTGGTTTAATGAACCGGGTGAAGATCACATTAATGGGGTTTTGAAATCAGTGAACCCTTACAAATTTCCTGTTTTTCAGGCCGGTCCAAGAGTTTGCCTTGGGAAGGAGATGGCTTTCATTCAGATGGAGTATGTGGTTGCTTCTATTCTGAACCGGTTTGAGATTCGGCCTGTTTCGGTGGACCAACCGGTTTTTGTTCCTCTTCTAACGGCTCATATGGCTGGTGGGTTCAAAGTTAGGGTCCACAAGAGAACTTAAATTGAATACCATATATATATACCCGCTTGGTGGGAGCTAGCATAGAATGTTTTTTTTTTTTTTTTTTATTTTCTTATGGAAAAAGTGTGTATTATTTTAAAAGATGTAAAGTTGTGTTATTTTAAGTGAGGGAAAGAAATAAATAAAGAAGGAGAGCGAGTGGACAAAAAAATATAAAGGTGTGAGTTCCACTTCTTTGTGAGAGTAAAAAAATATAAATTGTGTCATTTAAAAAGATAAACGTTTTTTCCTTTTCTTATTTGCTTTGCTTTTTATTTGTGGTGCTAAATTAACATGTTAACATGCTTTGAGAGAGACACGTTTGGGTATTTTGAATGTGGAAAGTTGTTTTTTTTTAAAATAAAGGTATTGCAAAATAGCAAGCATGAAAGGTTCTGAGCGACCCCAAATAAGAAATGGAAGAGGCGTTAAAGCTTTCAGTAAAGCGTCCTTCTGAATCATCTAGATTCATATATGAATGAGGTTGACAATAAGTTGTTTCAAAATTGACTCTTTGTCCTTTTTGTTGGAGGTGTTCCAGAAATGTCTGTGATTGAGTAAATAGTTCTACAAATGAATGGATCGGATCGAATTGGAAAATGAAAAGATTTGTACAAGTTATACCCTTTGTCATCACTTTACAGAAAATCATTAGGTATCAATATGTTAGATACTTGTGACTCGATTAGTGAAATAGTACCTTTCTCCGGAAAAGCATGTTTTTTTCAAAGAAAAAATATTGTTGCGAATGAACAAGATATTAAGAAATTATTCACACGTAAAATCATAATTATTAATACAGGAGAAGTTCGTTGTGCGAGGATCACTATCAATGTGCTAAGGTTACACCAACCATAACAAGTAGGTCTGACACCACATCTCAACCCAAAACCTTAAAGCATTAGGTTCATGAGTCCTCCCATTTATATTCACTCCACTTAGCATTAGGTTCATGAGTCCTCCCATTTATATTCACTCCACTTAACCCGTTATCAAACAATGTAAGACTCATCACACTTGAGTATCTCTTAAACTGAGTACTCAGGCCCAAAGTTTTCAACTCACATCTAGTCAACCACCACTAGGCTAGCTCAAGCCCAATCAGACTCTGAATCCAGAGTCAGACGGATCCAAATGGAGCCCATGATGTGAGACAACCACTAATGGGCTAAGCTGGGCCCGATATCATTCTCAACTCAAAACCTTAAAGTATTTGGTTCATTGATCCTCCCACTTATATGCATTTCAATTAGTCCGTTATCAACCAATGTAAAACTTATCACACTTGAATATTCCATAACTTTCAATTTCGTTAATGCAACCACCTATTTCTCCGATATTCAGTTAGAGGCTTAATTTATTATTAAACTGCAAAATCCAAGGAGATATGCTTCTTGAATATTATTTTTTACACACCATATCGGACATGACCTTCTTTCGTAGGAAAATAAAGAATCTGTATTGAAATTTATATTTCGTTTTTTATTATCTAAAAATAAAGTGATGTAAAAATATGATATAATAAAAATAAAGAATCTGTATTAGATTAAAATTTTAAAAGACTTTTTTGAGATAAAAAATCTTATAGATTTTAAAAGACTATTTAGAATTGGAGGGACTTTAAAGAATTTCTTAAAAGACTTTTTTCACAATCAAGATTTCATAAGATTGGATTTTAAAGGATTTTAATAGAATTTATAAGATTTGAAAGGATAATATGGATTTATAAGATTTTTAAAAATCATATAAATTTTTAACAAACATTCAAAATTACAAGAGTCAATAAAAAAAATTAACAAAGGAATGCAATGATATTAATAAAAAGGTAAAACATAATATATTTTTCTCAATCAGTAAAATTCATGATAAATTTTCGTTTGAAATTTTCTGCAATTGATCGTGTAAACCTTAGGGTATTTTTCTACGGGATGAGAGTTTTCTAACCATATATCATATGCATGTTTTCATTGAGTATTCTAAGAAAATTTTGAATCTGAATTTTTGGGTTTTATTACATGAAAGTTTAAAAAATTTCTCAAATTATTCTCAATCGATACATTGAAACCTTAAATTGCTTTGAGACTTTTGAAAAATAAGTTTTTAGTGATCTATTGACACAAAAATTGTTTGAAATTGTTTCTTATAGCGAAGGAATTTCGTTCATGAATGTATTGTTATGAAACATAGTGTTCATATTATGAAAATTTTGATCTTTATTTAAATTGATCTTCTTTTATTGATGTAAAACGAAAATTAATTTGGGAGTTTTTGTTTCCCTGTTGTTTTCCCAGTATTTTATGTTGTTTTTAATACAAAAAACACACATTTTTGTACCAAGAAAAATCATGACCTGCTTGAAAATTATTTTTTAAACTTTCAAAAACTCTCAAAAATTATTCCAAAATCTGTCGTTTTGAGATGGATCAGATTACAATCTTGTTGGATTGTTGTTTCTGGGTTGTTTCGTGATGAAAATCGCTAAAAAATCTGCTATTTTTGAGCTTTGACGAAGCTCCCATGGCGAAACCCGATTTCGAGCGAGTCGACCCGCCAAAGAGTAAGAAGAAGACACGACAATAGAGAAATCTCAAGAAATCCTAAGGGTTAGGGTGAGATTGTGAGAAAGATATCTTATTTATATTTCTCACTAAAAAGTCTCACGAAATTTACACCAATATAAAATCTATTAAAATCGTTAGATTTTTGAATACCACAAGATTATTTTTCCTTTGTTTAAATTTCATTGAATACCAACGGATTTGGACCGATTCTAAAATAATCTTTTAAAATCCAAATCGAATACCACGTGACTTTTTTTCAATCATTTGAAATCCTAAGTGAATATCAATGAAAATTTTTGTCTAAAAATATTCCATTAAATGTTTTTGAAATCTCAATCCAATACACCCCATAGAATCAAAACCGTTACACTCAGCAATAAGCTTGCTAGCCCGTATCCACATGATAATGATGGATTCTTTTGATTCATTATTATCCTTGGCAAGTCAAATGTCATATCCTGAGTGGTTTTCGAGTTAATTATTCAGCTATTATTGTTTTCTTCCTTATGTGACATAGAAATCATCTCGCAATTTGTGATGTATAATGAACTCACTATGGAGGAAGATTCGGGTAATAATTGATGATAATTTGAACCTTTGGTTATTAAAACAATTTCTTTACACATATGGAGAGACTCGGAACTCACAAGTGAAAATCATCCCGTTAAGGAACACTCACCGATTTGGTGTGGAGCCATCATAATTTGATCAATCATAATGGATTCAAGTATTTTTTAAAAAACATGATATTTTGTATATTTAATTTCCCTATAGAGTGAGATTACAATGCATACTAGATAACCTAAATGTAAGAGAAAAAATTAATAATTATAATAATCAATTATAATTGATAAAATATTATAATTAATTCTATTTAATCTCTAAGATTAATGAATTTTATATCTCTACTATAAAAACAAGAATTTGATTCTAATTGAATCAATATATATCAAAATTCCGCATAAACTCACATGAAAAATATAACAAAAGATTTTCCTCTTAGATGAAATTTAATAAATCATATCTGAGATCGTGCCCGCGTAATTCCCTTCCAAAGCTGGGAGCTGTTGTTTGGAGCATGAATAATTGGTGTCATGCCTGCCTCCACATTGTACTTAGCACGTAAGAACTTTGACCACAAGGCATCTGGATGAGCTACGAGGTTGAACCCAACCTTCATGATAAATGCTGAGTTCATTTCCCTCATACTCCGCAGTCCAAGGCCTCCATTTTTTTTATCCATGCAAATCTGCTTCCAGGCCACAAGATGAGAACGTCTAGAGTGTGGAGATGAAACCCAAACAAAATTTCGAATCTTCCTATCAATCTCTTCACAGGTGACTTGCGGTAATGAACACACCTGCATTGGATATGATGGGATTGCTAATAACACTGCTTTAGATAATGTAACACGACCTGCTAGAGATAGACTGGCATGATTCCAAGCAGCAATTCTAGAATTCATTCGATCCAAAACATAAGAGAAAGATGACCGACCCACTCGCTTATGATGCAAAGGAATTCCCAAGTATCTTCCAAGATCCGCAGTCAAAGAAAAACCAAGAAGCCCACTAAGATAGTTTGCTTGAGTATGACCCACATTCTGAGAAAAGAAAACTCTAGTCTTACTATGATTGACTTTTTGACCAGATGAATCACAAAATATATGTAAGGCCTGTTGAATTATTAACACTTGCTCCTGAGAAGCTTCTGCAAACAAAAGGAGATCGTCAGCAAAAAATAAGTGGGAAATTTGTGGAGCTCCCCTTTTAATCCTCACTGGCTTCCACCTCCTGTGATCCACCGCCTGAGAAATGAGATGGGCTAGTCTTTCCATGCAGAGGACAAAAAGATAAGGAGAAAGAGGATCTCCTTGTCTTAAGCCTCTAGTTGGCCGAAATTCTTTAGTACAAGCCCCATTCCAAAGAACATTCATAGTGCAAGATGAAACACACAACATAATTAGTCTTATCAAATTTTCAGGAAGCCCTACATCATATAGGGTATCCTGAAGGAAATTCCAACTGATCCTATCGTATGCTTTCTCAAGATCAACCTTGATCGCCATCCAACCTTTAGATCCTCTCTTTTTCCTCATTGAATGGATTAGCTCTTGAGCAATTATGACATTATCCGTACCTTGTCTACCTCTGATAAAACTGCACTGATTAGGCATCACCAGCTTGTCCATCTGCAATTTTAAACGGTTAGCAACAATTTTTGTTACCGTTTTATAAATAACATTACACAAGCTAATCGGACGAAAATCCTTGAAAGTATGAGGATTCTCAAGTTTAGGAATCAAGCAAAGAAGAGTCTGATTCACTTCTTCTATACGACTAGGATCATTGAAGACTCCCTTAATGAAATTACAAACAGAGCTCTCCACTACATCCCATTGGCTTTGAAAAAATATGCTATGAAGACCATCAACACCAG